GGAGGTTCCCGGAACCCGGAACCCCGTTAGGTGTAATAGTTTTCTTCCGCAGGGAGAGGGGAGGACGGACGAAAAAAGTAGGCACCTGGTGGCAGATCCAATTATTTCTTCTCTTGTAGCTCGTCTCGCTACGCCTGCATTCAAACAGTAATTTTATCCAATTAGGTTCTTTGTACGCCTCCTGTTTCCAGAAGGGCGGCTTACGCGAGGAGGACAAGAGAAAGACGAGTCAGCCAACGTTCCTCGGGAGACCAAGGGGTCTCGCCCCGTTGCCAGCGAAGGGTCCCCGGAGAGGGGTTTGGGCAACCTGGAGGGGATTCATTCTGGTCCCGGAAGCGAGGAAGGGGGAGCTTGGCCTTGCCCGGGCTCTGCTCTCTTCCGAAAGATTGGCCCTTCTCCCCGTCGCCAGTCCCGGGCGCAACCATCTTTGCCTTGCCTTGCCTTGCCGCCCGCCGCTCGGCCTGGTGCCCTCTGATGTCCGGCAAAAGACCCCAAAGCCGTTGCCGCCACTCCCCTCCCGAGGGGGGAGTGTCCCGTTCTCCCTCCCTCCCTCCCTCCCTCGACGGGTGGGTGTGCCATGGGGTGTCTCGTCTCAACCAGCTTCTTCCGTCGGCTGCCAGAGACCGCGGGAGGGCGGGGCGGGGGTGTTGCTGGGATGGCCCGGCCCGTTGTGCAACTTTCAGCCGGGACGGTGATATAAAAGGGTCCCGGCTGCGATGGAGCTGCAGAGGCCCAGCGGAGGTGAGACCCGAGGCGTCACAGCAGCGGCGGCGAACCGAGGAGGAGGAGGAGGATGCTGAGGAGGAGAAAGAAGATGGAGGAAGCGGCCCCCCCCCCCCGACCCCGAGAGATGAGCTGTGCGCGCGTGCCTGGTGAGGTGATGCTCGTCCGGGAGGTGGGCGAAGAGAAGGTGGCAGCCGCCAGCCTATGCCCCGCTGGGCAGAGGGGCTGAACGGAAGAAGCGCTTTTTTCCCGGGAGCAGTGCCTCTGAGCGCATGGAGAGAGCCGCTGCCCCAAGGCCTCCTCCTACCAGGTGACACCACGGGGCTCCGCGCCCCCCTGGGTTTAGAAAAGAAGGAAACAGCTGGGAAGACGAGGGAGGGGGCCCCGGAAGCTTGGCCGGCCTTTCAAGAAGCCCTTCACTTCTTCCCTGCTTGCCGCCTTTCCAAAGGCCGGCGCTGAGGTCCTTCCTCAGGGGTCCCCCGGCGGCTGGTCTGGTGCCCCCTATTCTTACTCCCACTCCAGAGGTGCAGGGCAGGGGGCTGTGGGCGGAAAAGAGGGGTCCCGCGCCCCTTCGCTGGCTGCCCCTTCTCTGCCAGGCTCCCGCGCAACCTGCCGGAGGAGGCCCCTTCCGCTAACCCCTTCCGCTAACTTCGGTTTCTCGCGAGGGGGAGAGACCGGGCGATTTTGCCGGTTCGCCCCCTCCCGAGTCCGTCCGGCCTCCCCGACCTGCACCTTTCTCCAGGCCGGGCCGGCATCTGCCGTAGCATCAGACCTAGGGTGGGGGCGGGGAGAGAGAGACATTAGGAAGCGGGGATGGGCGAGGGTAAGAGCAGACCCTGAGTCGGCCCCGGAGGGTGCTTGGCAGAAGCACGGGCAGAGCGACTTCGGATGGCCAGCCCACCGCCCAGTCTCCTGACCCCGGAGAAACCTTCACGTCCAGAGGCGGAGGGCCGGGGCGCACGCGGGCCGCAAGCCCGGGGAACTTCGTGAGGCCGGGAGCCGCCTGGCCCGGGCAGAGCGCCTAGGCGGACGGTGGGGCTCGCGAGCTTGCCCGGGCGATTTTCTGCCGCGTCCTGCCCGCCCTCGGCCCTGGGGCGGGCGCGTGGTGGCCTTGGTCGCTTTCCTTCGGAGAACAGCGCCCCGCTTCCGTGCTCCGCCTGTTGCCGACGGGGCCTCCGGTGTCCCCCAACACCAGGCTTCAGCTCGGGCAAGGCCCCTTGAGGTCCCCGGGACTTCCTTCGGCCAGGTGGGCGCAGGCCTGCCGCCTCGGAGCGCCGGTCGTGTGCGTGGCCTTGGCATCCCCGGTGCCCGGGGTTCCTGGAAGAGGCTGCTGGGTCACTCGGGAGTCCTGGCGGAGACCGGCGCGGGCCTGGACGTGGGGCCGAGCGCGCTCTTTCTCTGCCCACGCTGACGCAACCGCGGGCGCGTGTCGAGCGGGGCGGGATGGCCGCGGACCGGCTCCCCGTCGCCCTTTGCCCTCCAGGCAGGGGGTGGTGGAGTGGTGGGTGGAGGGAAGGCCCTTGCCGCGGCTGCCCACGATGCTTGGCAAGAGCCGGAGGAAGAAGCGTCTCTTCCGCCGCAGGCCCTTGGTGTTCGCCGAGCCGCCTCCGTTCCGCCTCTTTTTGGGTGGTTGCTGAGAGGAGAGACTGCAGGAGGCCTCGGTCGGCGCCGGGCCGGCTCTCTCCGTGGGGAACACGTTTGCCGCGTCGGAGCCTCCTGGACGTGGGAGGCCTGCGCGCCAGTGAGGTGCTGGGCCTGGCATCTCCTCCTGGGTGTAACGGCTGGTGCCAAGCAGGGCAACCGGCATTTCCAGGAGGTGTTTCCTGTTTGTCTCCTCGGTGTTCCTGCCGCTGGTCGACGGGCTCTCCTGCCCCTTAATGCCATGCACAGGCTGAGTTTCGTAAACAAATGCAGTTCTCCGATTTCTAATTGCATCGGGTGCCTTCGCATTTCTCCATGGGCGGCTGGCTAGCCTTGCCCTGCTGAGGCTATGGGTGCCAAGCACACACACCTGCCAGGAATTTCCTGTGGATGGGGTGGGTGGGGGTAGGGGAGGGCAGCGGGCGCTTCCCTCTGCCCAAGCAAGAAGGAAGGCCCATCGGTGGAGAAGTCTGCCTGGCCTCAGCATGGGTCCCGTAGGGCTGGAAAGCAGCCATGGTCTGTGAGAGGTTCAGGGTCTAAGAGAGGTATCAACCTCCACCATCCATTTTTAAAGAAGCCCTTGGGGGCCTTGGAGACTCCTTCGTTCTTTTTGGCAAAAGCTTATGTGAGCTGCGCTCCTTTCTCCAGAGGCACCTTCAGCAGAAGATCTGACCCAGCCTCTAGAGTCTAGACCAGTGATGGTGAACCTTTTTCAGCCCGAGTGCCCAAACTGCAACACCAAATCAACTTATTTATTTCAAAGTGCCAACACTGCAATTAAAACCTGAATACTGAGGTTTTAGTTTAGAAAAAACAACTGCTCCTGCAGTGCAAGGGTTAAATGCTTGTTTGTTTTTTTCCTGTGGGTGGTATTAACAAAGAAATACTTACCAGTCCTCCAATCCCCCATTGGGCTAGACTGCTAATGGTCACCATTGCACCCCTCTGCTGGACCACTGCACCAGCAGAGGGGAGTGCCGAAATCTGGGGTTGGAGGATGGGTAAGTATTTCTTGATGGTGACTTATGGCTTCCATGCCCACAGGGAGGGCTCTGTCTGCCAGCTGTGGCACACATGCCATAGGTTCGCCATCACTGGTCTAGACTGACAAGCCACACATGGACCAGGCTGGGACTCAGACAGGATTTGAACTCCTTTCATCAGGAAATCCCTGCTCTCAGAGTGATGTCTGGCAGATTGTGAACATTTGGCGAGGTTTCATTTGGTGGAAGGAATGAGGCTAAAATCCAAGGGAATGAAGCCGGAAACGAGCCCTCCATCACACACCCCATTTGGACATTCTCGGCGCCTGGGCTGGCCTCGCTGGTCCACAAATCAGGCCATGTGGATCCCCCCTCGACCCTCTTGCCCACCATGGCAGCTGTTGGGAGAGCAGAAGAAGGAAGCTCTCTCAGCTGAGGAGGAGAATCGGGGTTGGGCCCCTATCCCAAATGCTGAGCAAGTAGCCCTTGGTGAGGATGTCAGTTCTGAGCAGGCCACCTCGGGAGGAAATGGGGCACTCCAGGCTCCTCGTGGGTCCCCTCCTTAACCACCCATGTTGTGAGACTCCACACTGGGATCCACATGATGAGGAAGGAGATCCATAACCTCTTCACACTTAAGCGTTGTCCGATAGGGGGCTGGGCAGTTCTGGAAGGATGGAGACAGGCTCTCTTTCCTGGGGGTCTTTAAGCAGAAGTTGGAAGGCTACCTGTCAAGCATGCTTTACCTGTGGATTTCCTGTCTGAGCAAGGAGTTGGGTTCAATGACCCTTCTAGGGGCCCCATTCTGGATCTACAGTTAGTTCTGTGAGAGTATGAATTCTCTCAAAGAAGCCTTGGCCATCAAAAGCCGTGAGACAAAAACGAGATAGGAACAGTGACTGGAAGGCATGGGTTGTGCAGGGCTCTGCTCTTGCTCTGCTCTTAAGGGCCCTCTTTTACTTCTTCTTCCTCCTCCTCCCCGTTTATTTGCCTGCTGGCCTGTCCACCCTTGCCAATAAGGTGAGACAAAGTGAAATCCGCCAGTGCCTCTCTAAGCATTTAAGGACTCCCACATCCCCAGGATTGATGGTGCCTTCAGAGGCCCCTCCTAGCTTAATCTACTGGTAATTCTGTTTGGTCAGAAAACAATGGATGCAAAGGAAAGGGCTTAGAGATTCTATTTGCCAAGTGAATGTATTGTGCTTTTTCATCTGAGGAGTGAGTGCTCAGTGAGATATTTGCCTGGAAGCCTAAAGACCGTCCTCAGCCATTCCCACCACCACCACCACCTACCCCATGTTCCCCTCCATGACTGGCCTCGGATAGCCTTTACCCAACTCTAGAGAGCTGCCTCGACCACCACCCCCAGCTAGCTAGAATGCCCCTAAGCCCTCATTTGAGACCATGGATTGGGATGGAGGTGCAAGCCCTTTGACCCTCTGTTCCCCCTCCCCCTGAGGGGGCTCCCTCCTCTGAATTGACAGGGCTGGTCCTCCAAGACCCCTTTGGCCCAGGGGGCAGCTAATTACTCTGGACAGGTTGGATGGTTGGTTTTTGTTCCTTTCTTTAAAATATGTTTATCCCACCTTTCTCCCTAAAAGGCGGTTCTCTGTCTTCTAACTTCCTTGCTTCTCTCTTCTCCTGTACAGGGACTGCAGGAAAGATGCACTTCCCCCATTTCTCCTTGTGTGGGTTCCTGTGGGTCTCACTGCCCCTTTTCTATAGCCGGCCCGTGAAAGTCGACAAGCTGGTCGCTGACACTAAAAGTCTCACCAAGACCATTGTGGCCAGGATCCAGGAGCACCAGGTAAGTACCCCAGGAGTGCTTGTGCTCATCCCTTTGGAGAGGGGGGTGGGGCCACCTCCTGCTGCTGCTTCCCTCTGCACCCCTTGAGAGTAGCCCCCACCCCGTGCTGCTTAGGTTTGCTCTGGTGTATTTGCAAACTGGCGGGGGCACTGCAGACCATAAAGGGTAGACCCCAACTGTGCACTCCATGCTGGTGTCACTGGTCCAGTCTACCAGCATGATCCCGCCTGCCCCATAAAGGTGGCACATCCATGATCACTGCCTGCAAACCAGCTGCAGCCCCTCACACCCTCTGAGGTGCCAGCGGCTGGGGAGGCCAAGGTCCACCTTCTTAGGTGAGAACTGGAGGTGATTTTTGAGTGGCTTCCGGGCAGTCCCGGCCATCTTGAGGCCCTTCCCCACCCTCACCAGAGAGAGTCCATTTGGCTTCCCTGTCTCTAACAACATTGAGAAACATATCAAAGAGAGTGCCATGTGCATCCACTCCCCCCCTCCTTTCCAGGACTTCTCGATGGAATGTGTGGGAACCACACTCAGTGGAAAACAGCTCCATCTCCTCGATCCAAAGAAATTGGCCAATGGAGAGTGGACAGGTTTGCTGAAGCTGGGTGGCCCTCTGTGGCACAAGTGACCCAAATATGTGCCAGTTAGTTTGGCACCACACCTTGAGGCAGTTAGCCAAAGTGCAAGGGTGTGCGGGTGGTGAAAACATGCTGGCTTTCCTCCCCATTCAAAATTGCCCTTCCTTC